AAAGACTATAAGAAAAGACTTAGAGTACTTGGATCTAACGGAAGACGTAGCATAGAATGGAGCGCAATTGCGTTTTAGGATTCATACAGCCGACCCCACTTAATGGGAAAATGAATTTGCTATTGTTGTTGTTGTTAGAAAAAGAAATAGGAAACCATTTCCTATAAATTACGAAAACTAATGAAAATGACTTGAAAACTTTAAGTTTTAATGAAAACATCAAAATAAAGAGTAAAGTAAATAGTATTAGGATTGACTTTCTAGTGTAAAAATATGGTTTTTCGTTAAAATAAATAGTACCGGAAGCTTTTCGTTAGAGTTCCCCTATAAATTCGCTTTATATGCATACCAAACGCAACCTCAATGGTTGTCAAATAGGAGAGGCCATGAATATTAATAGGAAAATAATAAACACATCATTTTTAGTTTCTCACACATCAATGCTTAATCTTGTTATTTGTTTCCGTTAAAGTTATTCAATCTGATAGCTAGAAATATATAAAAAGAGCTTTGCGAAAAACTGAAAAATATGTCTGAAAATCACCTCCCTATTAATATTGACCTGTAATTGTTTAGAATTTCTCAACATGGTTGTTTCATCCAGCTTGTTAGCATAGTCAGCAAAACTAACATATAGTACACGTCACTTTTACCTTTTTGTACATGCAATTCTTGTATTTTGCGCAGGGTTTAAGGTTTGTTATTGGTTCTAAGATATTAATTAGGTTCTAGATTAAGCAGTGCACTGACTCATCATCACAAGAAAGCAAGAAAGAATATTTAAGTAACAATAATTCTGTCACGAAAATGATGGATTATTAACGGTACTAAGGATTTGTCATATGAAAACAAAAGAAAACAGTTCTCTGCCAAATATGAAAACACCAAAAAAAAAAAACCTATCAAAATATTGCTTTAATTTCGTAACATGCAAAGAACAATATTCTGCAGATTTATCAATATGGTCTGCCATAACAAAAAGAGCCCGTCCATTTCTACTTACGAAACAAAAGAGCATTACTTTCGACATCAAAACAAAGGAAGGTAAAACAGCTAAAGAGCATTGTTAAAATAGTGTTGTCATGATTCACGCTATACCAAATCTAATATTTTCTTAATCCCATGCGTATCACCCATCGAAAGTGTTCTACTTGCCTTATTTGCATGTGTATTTTTTTAATATTTAGCAGAAAGTAGGGTTTTGGGTGTGTTTCGTGACATAAACTAGCAATCAATCTTCTGCTTTTTCAAGATTTTAATGCAACATACGATAACCCTGCCTAGCCAGACATGCATTTTATATATGTAATATATATATATATATATATATATATGGAGATAAATCTGTGACACAACTTTTTTATACAAGTTTTTGTGGAGCCAACTTTGTAATATATTTCAACAATTTAAACCGTCTATCGTTTAGGTCTTACCTCAAAGATCAATGTCTATCAAAAATCACCCAAATCTGAAATCATGATTGTCAAATTAAGTGTTTGGGTATCTTTGTAGAACCATGTCTGTCCATTTTCTTCACTACAAATTATTATCCTAAAAATCTTAGCCTAGCGCCTTCCCTAATTAAACCCAGGCATTTGAAAATTAAGAAATGGCACATAGACCTACTTAGGTGTCCGCCTAGGTCACAACTCTCACTTAAACAGAAAACCAATAACTTTCATTTTGCATTTTATTTTTTTCAATAAAATATAAGAGACTTGTTAAATACTTGGATGCACACATTATATGCTTGTTTCCTATGTTTTCAATCTATTCTAATACTTTATAATATGTATGACATTTTGTTTTACAATTTATGTATCACAATGCAATTATGTATTTTTTAAGTATATTAGACACTTATTTATATGATACATAATAAATATACTTAAACTCGCATAGTCTGCCTAGACCCCACCTAAGCGCTAGGCACCAGCCTACCGCCCGACTATCGCTTAGTATATTTTAGAACCTTGCTACAAATGAATGTCATAATTGTCTTGGATTTGTCTAAATTTTTTCAAAAATGATCTATAAATGATGTTCTAAAAGATAGACAGTTCGGATCGTTAAAATAGATTATGGAGTGAGCTCCACAAAGTAGTGTCAAAAAAGTGGTATCATGGATATATGTATATATTAACTTTTGCAAAACTTCATTTAAGACATGAATTATGAGGCTAAAAGATAGAATAGGTTTAGCCCCAATTCTTACATGATGAAGGGTTTACAAAGAGAGCTTTTCCTATATTTCATCCCCTCTTCAAACTCATCTATTTTATCTAGCATCAGTTGTCCGCGTGTGCTTTAAACTATTAATTGGTGTGTTTATTATGAGATTATCAATCAATATGTCTAAACACCAAACGAGGCCTTAAGGAAAGGAATACGATTTAGCAGGAATGAATGCTGACTTTCTTCTTGAGGAAAGCACCCTGCAGGAATCAGATATAACTGGTTGTTCCATGAATTCGTTTTCTTACCGATCGAAAAAAATTTGATGAAGAGGAAAATGAATGCTAGAGAAGTTGATGTAGCAGCGAAAACAGGTGGCTATTGCCCCATTTTCTAGTAGTGCAAGAGCAAACCTGTAGGAGGGAATTGTAACAATATAATCTCACCATAATAACAACTTTAGACGAAGTTGCTCTTTAGAAGAAAGAAAGATCGTAAAATCATTTTTCGGGCCACTTAGTATTTCGGTCTGATAGCTTTTTTCTTTCTTCATTTGTAAGTGAAAAGTTTTAAGTTCGAATTTCGTGAATGACGAATTCGCCACCGGTTTATTCCTACACTCCGTAGTGTAAATATATTGTTATATTAAGAAAAATCATTTTCTTTTGTAAAAGGCAGATAATGTATTCTGCCACAATATTCTAATTTGGAAAACGCTGATTTGGATGTTATCACACAGAAAATTAATGGAAATTTGGAGAAAGTAGTGGTGGAGGGTAAAAGCCGGCGGCAGTGGTGATGGCGATGGTGGTTTTGCTGGTGGTGGTCGTCTTGGTGCTCTCTCTCAATCATCACTATATGCGCGCGGGACCAGATTTTATTCATTCCTAAGTAGTCCACCAGTTGCTACGGTCAGCTACTAGGGTTTTAGATGATTTAGATAATTTTTTTAAAAGAAACCGAAACCATATTCATGGGGTGGCAGCACTTATAATTCAAAATGCAATAGTTTTTTCTACATCTTATATATACAACAACATGTACACTAAGAGGATGAGGAATAAGTTGATATCGATTTAGGTATTTACGAAAATCAAACTGAAAACTTTCCACTTACGAGTTAGCCTCAGTGACAAAAAATGTAATAAATTTGAAAAGACTACAAACAATGTAATATGTTGAATCTAAAATGATTTGTATACAGTAGTCATTTGATATTCATGTACTTATTTTCTTCTCAAACAGTTAATTATACTTATTGTAATCCTTAGATTTGAAGTCAAGCATTTCAAACTAATGACAAGAAGCACAAGAAAATAATCAAATCTTCAGTGTTGTACGTCCTCAAGATTCGAACCGGTCAAACCTTCCAACTGAAACGCCTTCAAGATTTTTTCTCACTTCTTAATGTAAATATATTATTGTATTAAACATGACAAGGAAAATCAAACTAGTCGAACCGTACGAAACGGCCAATCCGAACTGTGGACTGTTTGATTTCGCTTGGATCATCAATAAACCAAGGAATCTCAAAACATAACCAAACAGCTGGTCCTGTCCAACCGTGGTTTTACACTTTTATAAACCGCTTCAAACCTAACGGAACCATTCCGTTCTTATATATTATTTTTTACGCTTATCATCTTTCATTTTATTTCCTTGGAAATTTGCTATTTGATGAAATGATGAATTTTAGAATGTTTGAGATTTACAAATTATAATGACAGTATGCTTTGGAATTGGGGTTAACTAATTCGAAAACAAAACGCAAAAGAAAAGTATAATTTGGTCTTAGGCAAAAACCGATCAAAACCAAAACCGAACCAAACCACACAACAATGGTTTAGTTTGTGACACCGGGTAATGGAGATGAATGAGAAACCACAAGTGAACACTAAAAGATAAACAACTCACCACTCTAAGGCTAGTTTGGAGTTGTTGTACTGTGAAGAAAAAAAAACGATGTTTTTAGAAGCCGGGGCAAAGCTGCTTTTGCTTTCTAGTGTTTTGGATCCATAATTTTGACAAAAAACACTATTTTTTTCATTACCAAACACAATTTTAGTCCCAGTTTCTTTAAAAAGTTGCTTTCAAAATAATTTCAACAATGCCAAAACAGTCCTAAGGAATTTACCAAAGAGATAAGAGTTTTAAGGATAGGAAGAAAACACTCTTCACTAAACCAAGTTTAAAAGTAATTCTTAATTTCTGAATGAAACATTTCCATACCTGAGTACGGGTTTTAAATAGTCTAGGCATGGAACCTTCAACCTTCCATGAATAGGTTATTATGCATGAACTTAATGTAATACTATTCATGAACTTAAATGACAACAAGAACCATCTTTAAATTAAATATGATGAATGCACTATTTACTAATTAGACGAGTTCAGATTCGGTGTCATACGGTTCCACTGCACAATAACTCAGTCCTCGAGTTTTTTATTTGGTCTTCCTCGATCTTTTGGTTTCACCCAGAATTTTAGTTGAAACCAAAACAAACCAATTTGTCATATATTAACTGATTTGGCTGCGGTTTTGAGTGGTGAAACCAATCCAAACCGGATCATACCAACCTCTAGGTTAGTTGTGCAAGATGAGAGGAATTTGTATATCTCATGTTGTAACCCTTGTGCTCTCTCTCTCTCTCTCTCTCTCGTCGCATAAGTCGTGGTGAAATAGAGATGGGTACACAATATGCTACATAGACCTTTTTTTTTCATTAAGGGAGTGTATGATAACCTTCTATTGTCTCACGATACGACTAGAGTCTAGAGAGTATATGTAACATGGAAATTTGTTTCATGAAAGAATAATGCGACCGTGCCCCCAAAAATTTCTGGTTCTTTCATAACTTATGTATATCAAAGTTAGTTTAGTTGAGTAAGAACATTCACCTTCGAGAAACAGTAGTTCGATTGGCGTTCCAACTGTAAGATTTCCGTTTGCATTACACACACATATCTGTATTGATAAACTGTCACAGACATCCTAACGATACATTGACTAAAGTGGATTCCGGTTTACATCTTTGTACAGTAGATATCGCGTCCGGGTTTTACCCAATGCCGCATACCTGTAACAGTTGCAAATTGCAAGAGAAATTAATTTGAAATGGCAACAATACAATATGGAGATAGGAAAACAAAATCCTTGTATACCAAATGGAAAGCTAAAATTATGCATTCCTTTCATCACTTACCATTGAGGCACAAATGGTGCCATCCAAATGACATCGCCTGCTTGAACAGGGTACCTATTTGCAGAATCATCAACAAAAGATTCAATGAAACTGGAATTTATTAAAGTAGCAGAAAATAGCGGAACTGCAGGTAGAATGCGATCATTTAGTTTCCAGACTCACAAGCTGAAAAAGAAACGACTCATAAATTTTGTGATTGGTAACGGGTACAAAACTTAAGCATCATCATCTTGTCTTGAGGAACTGATATTATGGGAACTTTTTAGATCAAGTGTATGCAAATAGTAATCTACCTTGAGAATTGAGGGGTATGATTTTAAGGGTGTGTCGCTGTGATGAGAGCGTTCTGTTAGTTAAGCCGCACACACCATTTTCAGGGAAGAGAAAAAATAGAGCAATTGCTGGGATGATTTATACTTTCATAGTCTATTTGATGATTCCATTGGCCAGCGTGATAAGAAACTCTAATGCATAACTAGCATATGAATAATAAAATTCAATAACCATGTCCTATATAATCCCAAGCAAGTAATGGACTGTCAATCTCCTGCAGTATCGATAGTGAATGCATCTCTTACCAGCTATCACCCAATCGGTAAATACCCTGTCCCTCCAGGAGCAACAAGCCATGCTGATTATAATGCACCTCCTGCATAAGAAATAAACCAAACACATGGTATCACGGACGACCCATGTTTGCGAGAAAGCCTTTCAAGCTGGGGACCAAGGTAAATCTCACAAGTAAAGCTTTCAAAGATGAAGTAGTGATATACAGATCAACTGTAGATACTGCCCCTACTGGGTAACTGGAGCTCTTGATTGGTTGAGGCAAGCAACATGAATGATATCATTGCTTATTGGCTAAAAAAATCCAACAGTAACGGGCATGCGGTCCAATATCCTAGTGGATAGGGTGTTGAGTCTCCACCCATGCGTCTTGGGTTTGAAACTCCCCCCTCCCCTACATTATTGTAATAGTTTCGAACTCCCCCCTTCCCTTAAAAATAATAAATCAAAAAAGAAAAATATCCAACAGTAATGGACCATGGATACGTCATTGAAAAGAATTCATTGAAAATTATGGGTAGCCTTAACAGATAATTTCAAGTCATATACTAAACAACAGTTACAACAACAACCAAGCCTTAACAGATAATTTCTAGTCATATACTAATATGGCCTTAAGCTTCATCAAGTTTTCTGTTCATTTCTATCAGTGACCAAACCAAAGTGACAAGGGTCTCCAGACCTCAACTTAAACTCATTTCATCAACTAAAACACCGAAATTAAAGTTTCAGAATGTGAATCATGGAACTCAAAAAGATAGACTCAAACAGCAAGGAAAAGACTAATACCTTCACATTAAGATACTCCCCAGGCTGGAAGTCCATTATCTGTCCAAAAATGATGAACACTATCAGAGACAGCAACGAGCATGAATACAAAGATTGAACACAGATAGTAACCAATGGCTTACATGGATGTTGAAGTCATAGGATATAGATGTTGGAATAAGCTTCCTTAATTGGAAGACCTGATAATGAATAATGAAAAAGTGAAACACAGGCTACAAAATCTTCAATCTATCATCAAGACAAACTCAACTAATAGTTAAACAATAAGGAAGAACAAAGAAAGATACATCTCGTGGAGAGATGTTCCTCATCAATATGATTCAAGGATTGACTCTTAAGCATCACAAACAATTTCGTAGGTAGTTATGGATACCAAATAAAAATAAACCTTGAAAAAAGTCACTATTTACCTCGCCTGGAGTTTCCAGGAGTGGCTGCTCGTCTGTTGAACCTATAATCTGGTCAGTAGATTGATTTTCCAGAGAAACATGCCTATATGGAAACATTGTAGAGCATTTAGCCATTTGAAGAGTACTATAACGATGAACTCCTAAGAAAAACACCATTGGTTTCAGCAGTATATCATTATCAAGAAAACTGTCTTTGACAAACAAAGTTTATCGCTCCATTTGAAAGCATTAGTGCCATGTAATGGTGATTTTGAGTGCACTCCAGTGCTCAGCATTCCACAATGATAACAAAAGAGTTAAAAGAATGAGAAAACAGGAAATCCAAGCAATCATAATGTATTAGGGAGATAACCTTCTCTCGAATACCACAAGAGTGGCAGATGCATCACACCTGAGGGAATGATCAACATTCGGAGGTAGATAAGCATATGAGTCCACCTGTGTTTCATATAATCGGAATCAGACTTCTTTTCACCTTTACTTAAGTTCACAAGAACACCACCACATCACGGGATAATTAGATTTGTAATTGTTCTACCACAGATGAAAAATACTACGAACATCATTACTAAAAGCACTGGAAGCAAAGCAGCATTTCTATCAGATAGTCTGGAGTCCTTGCTCAATGCAAAGGATGCATACTTGTAAATTGTTCATCGTACCTATAAAAGTATGTTATATGTTTCCTAATAGCACTCTTGAAATTATAATGTGTCCTACATAAACAGATAAATGACACTTCTGTGCTCTCTGTCACTCAATTCAATTATATTTTCAGAATTCAGACTTCTAGCAGCCTTCATTGCACTTAAAAATCCCAACACAAAAAACGAATTGCTCAAGTTGAGATAATAAGATGGTCATATCAAAACATAATCTACTTCTAAAAACTAAGGAAATTAAAAAAAACGCATGAGTGCATAATATGTGTTTGTGTGTATTTGGGTGTGTGTGTAGACGACATATGTACCAACTAATAATGAGTATCAATTTATTATCCACCAAAACTAGAAATCTCACACTGAAATATATCGAGCTATTCTTACCGTTAATTTGTCGCTAGTACCAGAAACATTGGTGAGAGTGACAGCACCCTGGACCACAAATATGAACCTAGTAGGAAAAAGAGAGCAAAAGGCTTATGACGAAAATCAAATGCCTGAAGCTAATAAATCATTATAAAGTACAAGAAATTCGCTATCGTATAGTACAAACGGAAAATTGAGGAAAAGAAGATGCCCACACCTTTCAACATCATTTGGGGGGAGTCCAGATCGTGATTTTTCTGCGCATTGGTAAAGTGTGTATGTATATATATATCAGCAATTGATGAAAACAAGTGACCATAGCACAGTGTATCAATTATCTAACCTTGCATCTTTGCCAGATACATTACGAAGTGTGAACCCATGGCCGGTGTTATCAAATACGCTCCTAATGTCAGAGTCCTGTAAGAGTAAATCTAAATTACAGCAGCAGTGGAGAACCCTTCTAACTAGTATAATGCAGAGTTAGAAGTACCAGTCAGGTAAAGGACTAAAGACATGACTCTCTGGTGTTATTAAAGCATGGTCTTGTTTGTAAACACTGCGTGTGAACCCTGGCAAGTCTGAGAAGAAAAGAACACATATAAATCTCAGCTAATTTTTAAGTTTCAATTAGCTGCAACGTGCTTTTATATTTCCAACTGAAGCAAAAACACAAGAAGAATAAATAGCACGACAACTCCAGCTGTTTGATTGCTAATTTTCTAGTTCTTAACCGGTATCCAGCAAACCTAATGCCACTTACATAGTCTCAAAGCATCCCATGAACTGCAATTGTAAAAATTGCCTATAATCCCAATGGGAAAATGCAAAGCAAGATTCTCGTAAAGCTTTGGATATCCGAAGCACTGTATGTTTTTATTCAAGTCATTTTTTTCATATTTCAGTTTGTTGTTCAATTTGTTTCTTAAAAATTTCACTATCTGAAACAATCATCACTTATAAAATCTACCTTCACAACTACCCAAATACAATTCCAACCAAAATGCAGAATCTTTATATACCAACCTTGAAGATGGGAAGGAGAGAGTGTGGGATTGGTGACCTTCCAATACAAATGCTTCAAGTCCGAACCCGAGTCGACCATTGAAGTAGAAGGGCAAAAACCCTCATCAGCCACTGCCATTTTGAGCAACCCTGAAAAAGAAAAGGTTGAAGATTGAGAGGCTCCATCACTAGAGAGTTCGAAAACTTAATCATTCATTTAAGTTATATTATATTGATCAAATAGTGAAAACCCAAGTCAGAAAATTAGTTGTACATCTAAGACACAATGATCAATCCAACTCATATCGATTTTCCTTCTCATTTTCTCATCATTTTCCCGGTAACCAAACAGAATGAAGCAGATAAAGAAACAGAAGCTGGGTTGGGGTTAGTACGTAGAGTGATGAAAAAGATGAGCGAAGCGTGATTCATTGTGAGTCTGTGTGACTGCGAGGAAGTGAGAGAGATCTGGATATATCTGAGTTACGTTTGTTCAGTGTTCCTCCGTGAGTGAGTGGGAATGTGAAGTGGGGAGTTTTTGGGCTGCACCAAAATTTGGACTTTGTGAAGAGAACAAAGGCTGACACGGAATCCACCGTGCAGAGAGATTTTTAATGTGGCCCTCATACAAGATGATATATTATATATTCCTATATAAATAGTGGTCATGTATATTAAAAGGTTAATAATTTAAAAATTAAAATTTTTCACGACTTGCATAAAAATAATTAGTATATCATCCATATTTCTGTCACAATTAAAACTTTCTCCACTGTGTGTATCTCTTGGAAAGTTGGTAAATTGGTGACTTAGGAAGTGGTGCGAAGTTGGACGAAAACCAAACATTTTGAAACATTTGTGTGGATATAATTTAGGACGTGCTATCCAAACATTATTTTTTACTTCTTATATTTTTTTTGTTTATTTTTTGGTTGTTGGATTAAATGAATTGAAAAAAAAACAAATGATAGAAATTAATAAGAGATGTATGAAAAGTAAAAAGGGAATGTGTATATCACACCCCATAATTTATTTGCAAAAAATTTCATAATAATATAAGACCTAAAATATGTCATTTAATACTACAGTTTAATAGTATTCCTCTTCAAACATCTTAGGTTCGATTTTCGCCAACGACAAATTTGAACCACCTTATTGCTAGCCCGTTGTAGAAAATATTGTTTGTTCAAAAAAAAAAAAAAACCTAAAAGATCCAATGTTTTTAAAATTTACTAATTTAGAAGATAAAGTATTTCAAGATATTTCGTGTACATAGAATATAATTTCTATGTAAAAATCTCTTTAGCATTTATTACCGAAAATGTTCCTTAATTTTATTCATTTTTTATGGGAAATCATTCATATTCTAAATAAGTACGGTCTACCGTGTCCATACTAAGCTGAGGTATTGTTAGAGTGGTTTAGGGTGACATATTGTTAGTAATTGTGTCAGTCTTTAACCCTTAATCATTCAGTTGTTTGTAGTCTTTTTGGTTTTTCAACTTGGTCAATTCATTCAAACATCATGAACAAATATGAATACAAGCATAAGAACAGATGAATGAGAAACGCCCAAAAAGATTTTAGTTTTAGATAGTGTATGTTTCATCGGGACTTTCCAATTGCTCCGAATATGAGGAAAGAGTAAGTTGCATTAGCAGTTCGAGGCCTAAGTGTAATCTAGCTTGCCTACTTCTTCGTGAATGAGCTAAGTTTTCTCAAAAAAAAAAAAAAAAAATTACTCAATCTATGTTATTCGAGGTTCAAAAGCATCAAATTTGACTAAAAAATAAAAATGATATCTAAAAAAGAAACAAATTCCATTTATATAGTTGAATTTAGAAGAATATCTTAAATAAGGTTAAAGCATTGGACAGAAACTCTAGAGAATTATCTCTTTATTTAATTAGTTACTAGCATATGTGCACACACAAAGTGTGCGAGAAATTTTTTTATTTTTATTTTTGAAGTAGAAAAAGAGAGGAAGCTAATGATAGAGAATGTGGGAGCGAGAAGTTTTTTTTTAATTAAAGATATGTTAGGATTACATGTAGGTGAGGCTTTGAAGAAAAAAACATTAAATTTTGGTTGTGTGAAATTATATTTCTGCTCCATATTTTTTATTCATGTTTTGTTTTAATTAGAGGATTAAACTGGTAATTTCATAGGCTTTTGGTTGACAATGAGTGTTTTATTAATTAGTAGAGATTTGGGTTGATCGGGATGATTATTAGAGAGGGATGGTTAGAAATGGAGAGCCTGTGCCACAAGGAACTTTGCTTAGCCGCAAACTCATGATCATGATTAAAATATCCGTGATAAGTCTTCAGCACAAAATAAGCAAATTACACCTTCATCAGCTTTTGCACCCACAGCCGTCGACATGTTGTCTGCCAAAGTGTTTGCCGTCAACATTGCTCTAATATTAGGGTTATTTCCGCAAAAGCACAATTCAGCATCATTGGCATGCCTTAATTTAGGCATTTCATTGAATACCTTCCGTGCAAGTTTAGAAGGGCAAATTCCTCGCTCTTCATAGGAATTTTGATGACCCTAAGTGCGACCACACCTCCTTCTATGGCGCCACTTTTCAAGATCTGCAACAAGGATAGGCAACAACTACGACGGTTCCTCTCGACCCAAGTTAAAAGACCCCTCAATATAAAGGCCATGCTAGGCCTTAATATTTGAAGTAAAAAGTTCCTTAATATGAGTTATGAATTTTATGTTCTATTCCTTTTATGTATTTCATTAATTACTATATTATATATTCGATGGGCTTTAAGAAATTTGAGAAGAATTATTATCTTATGCATTTAACGGAGTTATTATTTTATCACACTAGGCCGAGTTGCGGCCGGAATTTTTTTTATTTAATCAAAATAATCAATTTATACACATTTACTTATTGATGTTTTAATATTTTGGTTATTTTATTTTAACTCTCAAGTCTCAAGAAAACTTGGTCAGTTATTGTTCAGAATTGCAAATTTGGAATTCTCAAAATGCATTCTACAATTACCATTTTTCAAAAATATTCGGATTCATTTAAAAAAAATATAATGTTAGAATAACATCATTCTAAAATGGATTGGCACGATGAAATCATCAGCTAGTATTATGTTTTTTTTTTTTGAAAGAAAAAAAAAAGGAGTTTTAATAAAAATGGCTTAGACCAACAAATATTTAACCAAAAACCATCCCAAAATATTATTTAACCAAAAGGGCTCAAAGTTTAATAAAAAATCATCCAAAACTATTGTCCATGGTCCAAACTTACAAGCCAACCTATGGAACCAAAAATAATCAAGAGGCGACACGTAGATTTTGGGCAAAAAGCACAAAATTACCCTTGAGGAGCACCGGAATTCCTATGCGCGAGCAGTGGACAAACATTCCACAATCAAGTCAAAAGTGCCCAAAATAGGTAACAAATTCAAAGTTATTTCATTCATCCTCATCCTATATTTTCCACAAGGTAATTATTTCATAACCTCCAAAATATTCATTCCAAAAATGTGTTAATTGGCTAATGAATGGATTAATTACCTAATTAATCCATTAATTGCCAAATAACTCACACATTAAACCACAAAATGCACACAAAAAGCATCTCAAAGGCCGGTCACCTTTTCTCCAAAGGGGACCAACCATGCCCTATAAATACTACTCATTTTTCTCTAAAAACCTAAGTCCACACTCTTGCAATACTCCAAAAACTCTCTAAACACTTTTATCTCTAAATTATAACTTTGACATCGGAGGTTTTTCGGGCAAAGTGATCCCTCCCATTCATCGTGGGCACATGAGGCTCTTGGCCTTGACCCTAACGTGCTAATTGTTTTGTAGGTGCAATTTTGTCCAAGAAGAAGGAGGTGGTAATTTGCATCCACACAACCCACTACAAATTTACACTTCTGTAAATACTCCTAAATGACCTCAAACTAGCACGAAACCACTATAATAACTCTCTGTCTTCCTATCAAATCGAATTCTCCCATTTCAAAAACCACCAAATCAAAGTTGAAAAAGGAAGCATTCATTGGAATAAAGCCGCCGAAACAAGTTCAATGATAGAAACTCCGTTGAAACAATAAAAATGCAGCTTACAAAAATCAGGAAATACGTTTTTTTTTTCAAACCATTGGACCCATTCGGAGGACCTAACCCGACATCCATTCGGTTTTTTGGCCCATTTCAATTCGACTCTGTCTATCTCACTCTCTCTCAGCCGCCGTCGTCTCTCTTCCTCTCAGTCACCTCTCAAGTCAAGCTGCCTAAGTTCTAACTGTAACTCCACAGCTTTCACTCTAATTCTCTCCGCCTCCCTTTCGCGGCAGTCGTCGCCATTTCACTCTTTGCATTCAGACCAGACCGAACCCAAGTGGAAGAGCTGACTCCATGGCTGATAAACTCGAAGGATTTGATACCAGAGCAGAAAATGAATACTGGGACGGAATTAAAAGAGGCTTGGTACGCACGATATCATTAGCACCTTCATCGATTATTGCTTTAAACGCATTGAATTGAAGTTTCAAATTTTGGGTTTTATTGTTCAGGTTCATAAGGAGAGTTTGGTGAGGAAGCAGTCGTTGCATATGCTCAAGACAGCACTGGGCATAAATGAGCCCGGCCAAACTCAGTCCTTCTCCGGTGGTGTTTTGGAGGCTGAAACTCATTCTCGTGGTGACGGTGGGGGTAGCGGTGGTGGCATGACAAAGAGGGAGCTTTGGGCTGATAAGGAAGCCAAGTCATTGGGTGTTGGGAAAATGTGTAGCCCGGTTGAGTCTTTTCTGAACAGCCGGCAGAAGTGGGAGGCATTTGTACTGCTGTATGAAATGCTAGAAGAGTATGGCACTCATTTGGTTGAAGCAGCTTGGAACTTCCAGGTATGTGTGTTTTAAAATTGGTTAATAACTGAATGTGTTCCTCATGCCGCTGTTATCGTTATAGTTAGGCTATATGAAATGTCAGTATTGTTATAAATTTAACTGATTATTTGCTGAACAAGTAAAGTAGACAAGTTTGGAACTTTGGCATTGATGGCGAGGTAATAATGTTAACAACATTCTGTTTCCCAGATATCCCTGTTGCTTCAATATTCTACCACACAAAGTAATGGTATGGTGGCAAGCTCTGTCAGTGGAGAAGTACTTCATCAAAACCTGATCGAAAGCCCAGGCGAAATCTTTAGTTGGTTAGCAATTTTGTGGGAACGGGGTTTTCATCACGATAATCCTCAAGGTAACAGTCACTTGAATGTCAACCATCCCATCATTTTTAATTTCATGGGAGTGTTATTTTACTCGGAATAACTTGTTCTGGTTTAATTTATACAGATTTATCATGACATAATTCCCCTCTGTGTATAATGCAGTTAGATGCTTGATCATGCAGTCATTTTTGCGCATTGATTGGAAGAATTATGGAAATCATGCAAAATCAGTGCCTAGATCTTTTGTTCTGGGTCCACTGATGGAAGGGCTAAATGACCCTGTGCACCACAAAGAATTTGGTTTGTTATCTTTTTGAATTTTATATGACATCTTAATTCAGTATGTTTGTCCGTCCCCTCGGGGACATG